AAACGGTTTTTCGTCCTCCACAGGTGTTCAAACAGTTCGCGACAAAGCATAGCAAGATTACATGGGCTTCCTAATACCGAATTCTATGTTGAGGAAGCCGCAGTTTTGAATCATCACGATTGGCAGTTGCGTCTGCTCTGCACGGGCACCAAAATGGCGGCGCCCACAACTATGTCGGGGAAGGAGTGCCGATACTCTAAGCGCAGCTCATTTAGTGGATCTAACTATACCCGCACGCAACACCACTTACTAAGAAGCTTCTATGTCGCCGCGTGATTTCAAGGATAAAAACTACACTGTAATAAAAACGTGCGTTTTCTTTTATCTCATTGTTGGTATGTTCATCTACCCGATTCCCGGATTTTTGTCCTATATTTGGGATCCCTGCGGTGACATGACACGAAATAACATGACATGACATGATATGATATGACATATGACATTATAGGACATGATATGACATATGACATGACATGATATGATATGATATATGTTTATCTCAGCTCAGGAGAGCCGCGGCGCCGCAGAAAGGCAAATCGCCCATACCTCGAAGGCCAGCGGCACCGCTTCTAATGATGATAAAATACTTAAAATACTGCTTATACAGTGGACACGAGCACTGCGTGAGCATTCGATTTTGCCCACTGACATTGAATGCTTCTAAATGCATTCTGGCAGTGGCTCGTGCTCAAACGCGACGATGATGAAAATATCCGAACCTTAATATTCTGTGGAACTCAGGGCATGCCCCGTGCTTCGTCCACCACAGCGCGTGGCTATGATAAACATTGATGGCATACGATCGACTGCAGGTCACGTGGCCGCTCGTTCTGGATGCGAGTTGAGGAGTTGAATGCTGCTGGGTTTTCTTTATTTTTTCCTTCGACCATCATTGCGTAAAAAAAAAAAAAGATTAACGCTGCATAGGTGATGGCATAGCCTCCTTTATACTGAGAAAGCCTGGCAGATCGTCACATTACGGAGCCGCCGAGAGTGAAAAGGTAGAGCGGCAGACAAGAATCATGTAACGGGCGCCCCGCTGCGGCGAGACGCCGAAACATACTTGTCCCGAGCAATGGAATGTCCGCTCGTGCTTCTCGCGTTCCTCAGACTACCGCTTCCTTTCTCGTCGGGTTTAAAAACCATGTTTCGGGTCTTCGCCGCTGCAAAAGCTGTGCGCTGAATACCAGCCTCCCCGAGAAATGCTCTGAGCTACCAGATTTTCGCGCTCCAAACATGCGACCGGGCACTTCATGGCTCCGTCATCGAACTTCCAGGCTTTGTGGGTAGAGAGGAGGTTATGGTTATGGATGTCAAGGAATAATTCTAAGCTGTATTTACTGAAAGTGCGAAATATGTTGCATCGCCCTTTTATTTAAGGCAGGACATGACAACTCCCGAGTACCTCATTGTTCCGCAGACTGTGAGACTGCGCCATTCGCCGATAAGGCAAATCGCCAAGCGATATGTGTGAACGCAATAAAAAAATATTGAATGTACTCAGAGACGCTAAGATGCTATCCTCTAAGAAATGCCTGCGCGTCTACTTACCCGCAAAAGACTTGAAGAGCCAATCTCTGTCATCTACGAAATCAGCTCAGCGAATGATGAGGCGGAACATCCGTTTAGTCTCAAAATTTAGTCTGCGCTGTGGCATTACGCAATATGACGCTTTGCATTGCGTAATGCGAAAGCGCAGACTTAATTTTGAGACAAGGTGTAAAGTTGGGCGAGTTGGTTTATGGTCATATTGAAAGGGTTAAAACAACGCAAAAAGGCGAAGGACCAGTAAAAGAAAACACACAGACACAGCGCCGACTTACAACTGAATTTTTACTTCTGCGCCTTTCAGCAAGTAAACTTGAAACGAGATAAACATACACGCAATCGACCCGATAACACGTCATCTTCCCATCAAGCCGACACGTGGCTACACTTATTTACCCGCCTTTTTGATAAAATTCATCTCATCACTAACCAGGGCAAGTGACGAAACACTTATGCACATGCCCGCGTCACGGTTGGCAATAAAAAAGCTTCGCCAATCTCCCGAGCATACTCAGTTTTATGTCGGGCTAAAATCTTAATGTCATTAAACTTTGGATAGAATGTACATCCGTCACAGCGCACCGCTAAGTTGCCGGACGGGGAGGAGCGTAAGGACAGAGAACGTTCCCTCGCCCGGTCATTAACACATCTCCCCGTCTGCCCAATGTACACGTTTCCACAGGACAACGGAATTAGGTACACCACCCCATATGCGCAGGCGATAAACCGGTTGCGGTGCTTAACTTGACATTTTGTGCCCGCGCGACCACCTCGATTCACGGCTGCACACAGCCGCCCCAACTTAGCTGGAGCCAAAAACACAACTCGCACGTTGTACCTACTTGCAACCTTCTTGACACCGTGGGACACCTTGTGCATATCCGGCAAGGCTACAGGTCTTACCGTTGATTTTTGTCTTGCCTCGGTAGTAGCAGGCCCTCTATACACATTATCCAAGAATTTCACGACGCTCATGACAACTCCCAAAGGGAAGCCAGCATTTGACAGCCTTCTGACTTGCAACAAAAAACTGTTACCACACCTATGGTGGCACGACTTAATCAAGGCGGTGCGGATACTGGACAGTGCAATGGCTCTTTTCACTGTCTTAGAGTGTGCTGTTTCATACACTAAGAGCCCCTTCTTTGACCTAGGCTCATAGGCCCAATACAAATGCGAGGGCTCACATCGAAGATTGAGATCTAAAAATTGCAGGGCAACCTCAGAAAGGGTTTCAGACTTAAACTTTAGTCCCAGAGAACATCCCGTAAGCACATGTAACATCGAGGCAACCACACTTTCAATGTCTGTGTTATCTTTGCCATTCAGCACAATCAGGTAGTCATTAACATACGTCAACACTTTGACCACCCGATCATCCAGCCGCTGAGCAATTGCCCTAGCATTCGCTGAGCTGATTTCGTAGATCGCAGAGATTGGCTCTTCGAGTGTTTTGCGGGTAAGTAGACGCGCAGGCATTTCTTCGAGTGTGCCAAAAAACTTTGCTAGCTGCTAGAAAAAAAAATTCCAAAATAATAAAAAAAAAACAAAAAAAAACTACAACGTGATAACGCTAAAAGACAGCGTCGCGTGCGAGGAAAAACGAGACTGTACGTCAGTGGCATCTGCGTTCCTCATAGAACTCAATTCTTCATATCACGGTTGGATCAATAGATCAAAACACAACTGAATTTTTTTTCTTGCTACTTTTTGTAACTTTTGAAGTCTTCTCGAAGTGGCTGAGCGTTTCGGATATCTCTCTCTCTTGTCTCTTCCCTCGCAGTTCCGTTGCCTGGTCAGCAGAGCATGCGGCATGGGTATTCGGCAGCCGGCCACGCTTTGCTCACCTCTTCAAGGTCCAATGATAGTTAAATACATGACTTTTTTAATCATTATTTATAGAACTAAATACAATTTTCACAGCTTATAGCGTTTATCTCGTTTTTTTAATGAATATGATGTTAATTTTGATTTGACTCGTTTTTTTTACATTTTGGATGCAGTGCATATGCAGAACGAGCTATGTGCTTGCACACGCATGGGGCATGGCTACGCACTTAAAAGAACGCTGTAAGTTACACTAATTCGCTCCTTTTAAACCGATTAGTGAAATGATCAACAAAGATAATATGTTCAGACCTATTTTACTTCAAAATAATTGAAAACCGCAAAAACGCCATTTTCAAAGTCCAAACAAAAGTTGCTTAAAATTTTTACAAATATAAAAAAAAATATACATTTTAGCCAAAATCTCCACGATTGCGTACTAAATATCTTGAAGCGTATGCTTGCCAAATTTAGTGGTGATGGAACAATATTCAGAACAAACATGCTTGTGCAGAATGTGGGAAGATGTCCCAAAATTACTGAAAGAAAAAAACGCGTTCGACTATTTGATGTGTGGCGATATCCTTTCACTGCGGGAAGAATAAGTTTTGTTAATAACCTTATGTGAGAAATTAAAAATACATAAGAATGCAATGTGGAGGACACGGCTAGGCTTACTTCTAAAAATAAACATGATGGCGGGCGACGTCTCAATTTTAAGAGCCGCGCACATAAAAATGGCTAAAGGTTATGGCTTCTGGGTCGCCGGGAGTTCTTTAAATGCTTATGTTACTAATTTTGCGATTATTACCTGTTTTTATTATTCTTATACGTAAATTTGAAAATTCAAGGATTACAAACCACAAAAAATGACATTTAAAAAAAAATTGGTATTTTATTTGCATCTCTCCTGAACAACACTACAAATGCAATCCTGCATTAAAAAAAAGATGATGAAGCTAAGACGGGATAGAAAAACGAAAAATGCAAAAAAAAGAAAAAAAAAAAACTTACTTTGCTTGTTTGTTTGTTTTTTTAGTTTTTCATTTTTCTATTCTAGTTTCAGGTTTACCATCATGTTGAACTTACACAAGCTCGCCTGCACTCTGACTATTTTTTCACAATATTGTTTTCGTAAGCAGGGTTCCAAAACCAAACGCCCAAATGCAGTTCTTATTGAGATCTGCAGCTCGTGCCCGAGCCGCCACTTTCACTCTGTCAATCCCCCTGGGTTTTTATGCTCTCAATTAGTGTGCATGCCGTAACAACAGCAAACTTTAGTTGGAGTTTTGTATGTGTCATTAGCTCGCGAATGTTCATATAGGTAGTGTTTCTCCGGGGTTTCAGGCAAAACTATTAAATAAATTAATATATACACTTCTTTTGGTGCCAAATTTTTTTTCGACAATACTTTTCAACACGAGGCATCGCTAACAATATCTTTTATAAAACAGTACTGAACGTAACCAACTTATCAATACTCGTGTCAGGGATTTCAGCGTTTTGTTTTAATCAGCTTTAAAGTTTTCGGATATCAATATAGTCATCTGATGAGATCAAACTCCCACTCTAACTGGTTTACGTTTGGTTGGATATGTTCACTACTACTTTGGCATGTTCTTTTATCACGGAATTCGCATCCAGGGATTGTCTTCGGCGTTGGCAAGTCTCACGCTTTGTTTGAATTCGTCTTCGTTTAGAACTTCGATTACAAATTCTGGCTTATTGGTGAGGATGCCATCGACTCCAAGTCTGCAAGAAAGAAAATTGATGGTAAAGATTTTACCGTGAGTAATGTACGTTTTATCCTGAGCCTAGCACGATGTCTTCAAATGCAGCTACCTAAGCTCCGCCCTCCAACCAGAACAAAAGACACTGTCTCATTTCTGAGCGCTGAATCTAAGACACGATCGGTGGAGACAAAGAATGTGTTAAAAACATACGTGCTGCCTACACAGTCGGGTTAAAGTTACTGGTAGACTAGCTTACTTGTGAACTCCGGAACTTGTGTAGTCTTATAAACCAAATATTGTTGTGTTAAACACATTCAGAAAAGCATTTGATTCACAATGTTTGCAGTCCTCTGAAATCTCTTTCTTTTCCAAATGAATGCCAGTTCGTTTTTTAAATGTTTACCCCGAAACCTTCCTTCACTTGCCGTAAGTTCTATAAGTCATAGATAGATAAGCAATTGCTCCATTGGTGGTATGCAAACTTCAACATCTCCAGTGCTTACATTCGTATGAACCCTGTAATATCTATGCCGTAGGATATCAGCTATAACATAAAGTTGAGCATTTAATTGAAAATGAAGTTTGATGCATGAAACGTTTTACGCTATCTAGGGAAAGTGTATTCTCTTAACCTTTGTAAAGCCGTTTTGGATATATACAGGAAAGCAAAGTATTCAAATAAAATCCTTCGCTATATTAATATTTTATTTATCATTACTTTATTAATTATAAATACATAATAATTAAATGAATTAAAGAAAATACTACTATTATTTTAGAAAGCGTTCGAATCTTCATTATGATTTTTTATATGGAATTTCAATTATTTTACTGTAAAACTGCGTGTCTAGTTTTAAGCGGAGGACATCTACAAAAATGTTTGATAAATATTCTTTACCTTAGGACTTCCCTCATCGACGACTTGAGGTCTGTGGTCCAAAAGTAAGTCTTGTCAACAAAGCTTGTGGCATCATCTGCTTCCCTGTTGGCAATAGGTGCTTCCAACTGGTTTGTATCAAACAAGAAATTGAGGCAGTTGGTGATACCCTGGTCGTACCACCGATGCCCGGTGATATTCAGCTCCGCGTACATGTCGCCAACGTCTTCCATAGAACTTGACTGACCCACGTCGAAGCCTGCAACATCAAAGAAGAGTTGTTAGACTCACTTGGACATTATTTTGTTATGGTATTAATGAATCGTATATCCTTGAGAATGGAAGATGTCATATTCCAACCTACTTTTTCTCTAGACTTCTGCAACCCTCTTTCCTAATATGTTTTTTGTATATAACAAAGAAATACGCTCATGTCTTGTTAAGATGAATGCCCCCTTTGTGAAGGAAATCATTGGGTAACATGGTAACCCAGGAACGGGGGAAAACGGGACGGTAATCACAAAGCTTGTTCGTCCCATTTTCCCCCAATTTTGAGTTATCATGTCAGTATTAAACCAGCTCGCCTGCACACTTGCTTTAGTTTAAATATGGGCTATGAATCTGTCCCAATACAATTCTGCCCCGTTCGAATGAAAATGACCATTTCAGAAGCCATCTCGTAAACAAGATGCACTTATGACTCATTATTTTGGAGCCATACTAAACTCACTTTAATACCTCTACAGAATCATGTTCTATTTCTCGGATCATTTTCTGCGCAATGCTTTTGACACGCTGTTAAAAACTAAATATCTTCAATGACCTTCCGTTCAAAACAGTTGTTAACGTTCTGCAGCTCTACTCAGTTAAAGTAGGGACCCTCGAAAATTCGGACAAAACCAACTATGTTTCTCTCTAACGAAGCGATCAGCTGCAGAGATAATAGAAAGAACCCCGATAGGTCACTACTCAGTTTTCTCGCTAAATTTGACGGGTAAACTGAATTAGACTAGAGGTCACGTGATATCAAGTCATGTGACGTCATTCTTCCCGCCAAAGCTAGCGTGGAAACTAGGGAAACTGAGTTTGTTTATAAAACACATAACATCAAATTTCCCGCTAAATTTAGCGGGAAAATTGAATTTGTTTATGGATCACGTGACATCGTCATGTGACGTCATTTTATCTGCTAAATTAATCGGGGAAAATAAACGGCTAGAAACATCTCAAGTGGTGTGAAGTTAGTCGTTATAAAAACAAAACAAAAAAGTCACATCGAAGGAGTGATATTTATTCATTTTATGGGTTGCTAGAAGCTTGCTCGTCAAGGCAACGATAGCTTATGTAGTATAGTTTCACCACCAGCGCTAACGCAGCCTCGCATGTCACCTTTGATATGCGTCCAGTAACTTGTTCCCGGCTCCAAATTCGCAAGACGCTTTTATATGAACACTCTCTACGGGGGTGGGTGTCCCAACTTGGAATCGCGGAACTTGGAAATATTGTTTTGTTTCGACTAGCCGCTTTAATAATAATAATGATTATTAATGCCATGTTTCTTTGTCCTGCATACCGGATGTGTAAACTGAGTGTCCGAGAACCGGGGGAACACAAAACTTTTATAGTCTACATAAAAAAAAAAGATAAAAGAAATAGCAAAGTAGGCAGGGCAATTTAGTTTGGTGTTTTATTTCATTATGTCGGTCAATTACCAACTAGCCCCTCCGATCCGCTATTTTACAATCGATAGCTACTGACATAGGGGAAAAACCTGGCGAGTTCAGGGGGTCCTATTATTTGTATGCAGTCAACGAGACTGAAGCACTAGCCAACGAGTATTCCGTGAAACTAACCTAGAAGCAAAAAGAATCAAGATAACAGGTCACGCCATGCCTGACTATAGAAGCACGCATTTTTGTAGAGCGTGGTTTTTACACAGGGTAAGTGCGGTATGGTTTCTACAATCTTTAGCCTTCCCGTTTAGTGGGTATATGTGCTCAGTGACCAAGGAATTGCTGAGTGAAAAATTTCCTGGAATCATTTATTTTGAAAACGTACGCTTTTTTAAAGTCAAAACACACGCAAAAAAAAGAAAGATTATAAACACCTAACCCTTTCGGGTCTCATGTTTTTTCTTTTTTCTTACGTCACTAGAACATAGGGTAGCAGTGTAACTGGATACAAACCAAGTCGGTTCAGAAGCGTAGAATCGTGATTTTGTATGGCTGTAATGGCGCTCCTTAATATTTCCTTCTCATCGGCGCTCTCGATAGAAAGAATCACGTTCATGGCTTGGTTGGAAGGCACTGCAAAGGAAATGGGTGTCCACAGAATATCAATCGTGCCATTTTCATTTATGTTCGATTTTGTCTGGTGCTCGAGGCAAAGTCATACGAGCTTCCTGGACTATACTCAACCATCGGATTTACGCCCTGTGATTACTCTCTCTGCGTATAAGCGTCGGGATCAGGCAATAAGAGGTTGGCGATTAACTTGATCGGTGAGTACGTCGGAGTGCAATAATCACGCACAATCAATATAAGCTGAGCAAGGCTCCTATACAATTACCACGTTCGACGCAAAACACCATAGACCAGAGGTTAAATTTAAAACATAGATATGAGAAGTCATGAATAACTTAAAAAGAACTAATTACGATGCAATTGGTTGCTTTGCGACTGGATCTTGGGTGTTGTCATAAAGTATTGCCACAATATCTCTAAGGCTGTCACGTAATGATCACATAATCGGGAAAAGAAAGGGGGGGGGGGTATTACTTTTTAGGTTTGTGTCTCCCGCCAACAATTGCTCTTGAGGCCTAGCGGACTGGGCTTCAAGCGCAATTTTTTTTGGCCGCATAGTGGAGCCTTTGTGCGCGTCCACATCCAAGAAACAGTCCCAGTTGTTAGCTTAGACAGCAGCAAAGGCTACAGAAACATGAGTACTTGATAAATATGATACCCTGCAAATCAGGTGTATCAACCGCGCTAAACACACACTAGAATATATATATATATATATATATATATATATATATATATATATATATATATATATATATATTTGCCGTCGTGTCTAACGCAACAGTGATGCTTCGTTTACAGCATGACTTACAAACAAGGTAATTATCTGAAACAAATAAGGCCGGGGATAGCTGATTCTGCGGGCTCTAAGCATCCTAGAAATTCATAAATCATAATATTTCGCGGCCAATTGCCTTATTAAAAATTTAGTTAAAGCTGGAAAAATCGGCGCCCTGAGCGAATCGGTTATTTATATATATATATATATATATTCTAGTGTGTGTTTAGCGCGATTGATACACCTGATTTGCAGGGTATCATATTTTTCTGGTACTGATGTTTCTGTAGCCTTTGCTGCTGTCTAAGCTAACAACTGGGACTGTTTCTTGGATATATAAGCCAGGAACACATATTCTTAATTAAATGCAGCTCCATTTAAGCCGCCGAAAAACGACCCATTCCGGATAGATTCGGACTGCCCTGTTTGTACGGGAGTGACTGTGACCTCTACATGACGCTGGAATCGCGAAAAGCTCACCGTGAAGTTAATTTTATTTCACTTTTACGTGAAGCGGATTATTCAACAGCAGAAAACAGTCCGTTGCTTGCTATATCTGCAGTTGTTGAATTGACGTTAATTTTTGTTTTATGTTTTCTTAAAGACAGTTGAGAGGGGGCACAACGAGCGAATGTCCCAGAGTAGAGTGCCTAGATTTAAGAGAGGCAGCAACCCAAAATATGGAGAGCGTTTGCAATTTAATGGCGTACGCTTCATATGCAGCTTGGTCGCCGGTGTTCATGTGTTGCATTGTCGAGAGGCCAGAAGGACATCGGAGAGGGAGGCGGAAACGTTTGTGGACGATCGACGCCTTTGACTCCCTTTCCCAGCTCGTATTGCAACCGCGGCGCGTAAACCACGTCACTGCGGTCGAGCAGTTGAGAACACAATGCATTCACTCTCGTGGTGAACAACCACCGCCAGACAGATTTATTACGAAAGCGGGGTAACTGCTGCAAACGAGCTTTAGTTGCTTCACCATTTAAACTATTCGAACCACAAACTTTGAACTTGTAAGGAGCCGCATCGCGGGCGTGCGGGCCGATGGCGGCGCGGGATTGACCTTCATAACGGATCTCGGCGTGTTGAAGCGGCGAAATGTGTCGTCACAGGGGAACGGTGGTGACGCCATCAGGGTCGCCGGTGGAAAGGAGCTCGGCCGAAACAAGGGCAAGAGGGAGCGTGACCGCGGCAGTTGAGGGGAAGGGAAAAAAGGGAGGACGAGAGGGAGGCACGCGGGAGCAGGCCCAGATTGTCCCGACGACGAACGGAGGAGCCACCCAAAAAGGCTGCCTGCCTTATACGGCCGTTGCCCAAGAACACCACCAGCGAGCTGCTCGACAGCTTCCGCCAGCCCGTAACCTGCCCGAGAGCTGCCAGCCCTTGACCTGTTCATGACCCCCCCCCCCCCCCGAGCTACCGGCCTGCGGACCACGAGGAGCAAACGAGCCACCCGAGAACGACGCAGCCCGTCGACCTGTTGAACAGCCCATCAGTAAGCGACCCGACGACGGCGACCATTCCAGCCGGTAGTATTAAAATTTTAAAAAGTATTTGCCTGTCTCCTGCTTGCTCTCCACCGAGGGAGGAACCCCGTTAACAGAGTTTCGGATCGAGACTTTACAAACGTCATAAAAAGCCGAATTTTCTGCACGCTTGGTGTGAATGTCAGACCTGGATACCTTTCAGACTGTTGCTTTTTTGACGTCGTTCTCCGCACTTGGAAGTGGGTGCAAAGTCGGGAAGCCGATGTCACGAAAGATTGCCCAGGAAAAGTACGTCACAAACCTCAAAATAAATTTTAAGTTACGTTAAACGCCAAATTAACTAAAAAGAAAACAAAAATGAAAGCCGTTTACAATTCCCTGTAACGCCGGTTAGAGCGCAGCTCTCGAGGAGGAAGATGGAAGCGTACTAAGGGATAGGTGACTACTTGAGGTTACGTGACCTCAAGGGGTCACGTGACTTTAGGGGGTCACGTGGCCTCAGGGGGTCACGTGACCTCGGGGGTCACTTAACCTGAGGGGGGTCACGTGACCTCAAGGGGGTCACGTGACCTCAGGGGGGTCACGCGACTTCAGGGGTCACGTGATCTCAGGGGTCACGTGACCTAGGGGGGTCACGTGACTTCGGGAGTCACGTGACTGGGTGTCACGTGACCTTGTGGGCCACGTGACCCTAGGGGAGGGGTCACGTGACCTCTGGGGGTCACGTGACCTTGGAGTCACGTGACCTTGTGGTGGTCTTGGGGGTCACGTGACCTTGGGATGACTTTGGGGTGACCTCTGTTACGCCGACGGCGACGCCGCTTAAGCCGGGAACGGGCCCCTAAGAGCTGCGCTCTAAAAAGTGAACGCCGCTTACAACTCCCTGTAACGACGAATTAGAGCGCAGCTCTTGAGGAGGAGGAGGGAAGGGTTCTGAGGGGAGGCTGTAAACCTCCTCCTCCTTCTCCTCCTCCTTCCCTCATTCTTCAATCTCCTCCGGGGAGGGAGGTCACCTGACCTCGGGGGGGGGGGGGGGGGGCGGTCAGTGACCTCGCAGGTGGGAGGTCACGTGACATCGGGGCGGGGGGCGGGGTCACGTGATCCCCTCTCTCCGAGGTCACCGAAGGTACCCAAGGTCCTCCCGAAGGAATCCGAGGTTTTCCCGAGGCCCTCCCGAAGGAACCCGAGGTCCTCCCGAGGTCCTCCCCAAGGAACCCGAGATCCTCCCGAGGTCCTCCCGAAGGAACCCGAGTGTAAGGTTCCGGAACCTTTTATTTGTTGCCTTACTTCGTCTGGAGGCCCTGCGCGAACGATTTTGGGGGAGACGAGTGGGGTTCACTTGGAGATGTTTACGACCTTTGGAAGGAAGAAGCTTGTGCGCGGATCGGGGAGCTTCCTTTGCGGTGCGGGTGTCCCGTTACTCGGGAACAGGCCCTGGCGCGGCGGGCCGCGGCGCGTCCCGCGCCCCGCTCGGCTGCCTGCAGCTGGGGAGGCTCCGCGGTTAAGTGTTTTTCTCTGGTGGTCGACCAGTGCCACCGCTTGGGGCTGTTTGCTTGGAAAGTCGTTTGTCGCTTCCCATCGACAAGTGCCGGTCGCTTTCCTGGAAATGTCTCGGGCGCTGTGCTTCGTCTGTCGGCACCTGTCTCTCTAGCCGGTGTTCCGAGTGCCGGGTGATTTGTCGGGTCTGGGGGGTCAGACTCGTCTGCGCCACCTACGCCTGGCGCCGTCTGGCCCTGGGCTCGGAGTGCCGGATGAGAATGTTGACCTCCACGGGAAAATGGGAAAGAGGGACAGGCTACTGTCGATGGGAGGACAGGCGAGACAAAGCAGGGCGTCTTTGGTTCGGTACCGTTGGAGAGAAAGGAGCCCGCTCTCTAGCGGTGGCAGAGTCCGGGGCTCGGGTTGTCGATGTTTGTATTTCTGTAACCCTTATGTTAAATTGTCTTATATTAAACTGTTGCAAAGAAGCATTTGCGTAAACAGTTGTCTAGCCCGAACCGCTACACCACCGCCACCGTCCAACGCAAGCCATCCTCCTCCACACCATCGAGGAGGAACAACCTACTAAGAACCTTACTCCGAGGTTTTCCCGAGGTCCTCCCGAAGGCACCCGAGGTCGTCAAGAGGACCTCGGGTTCCTTCGGGAAAATTTACCCATAATGGACCGCGCGGTTACGCCGACGGCGACGTTGCTCAAGCCGGAAACGGGCGCCTAATGGTACGTTTACACTTGCGGATCCGCCAGCGAATCCGCCCAGCTCCTGCCGCTGGGGCGAAACGCTGGGCGGAAAACGCGGCGGCGAGGCGTATAGGTCCGGGATCTATTTCTGCCGCCGAACGAGGTGTTTCGCTGACCGGAAGTGGCATTCTTGCGCAGCGCAACGCTGCTACGTCATGAGTAGGCGTTCTTCCGGGAGCTGCAACGCCCGGGATTGCCCGGCAGAGAACTCTCGCGCCTCGTCATATTTCACGGGATGTTACGAGAACAGCTGCCGCAGCCGGCGCCGCCGCCGCTGCTCGAAGGAAATAGATGTAAACGCAACCCGCTCGTCGCCGCCGCCGCCGGGAGCGGATCCGCTCCCGCGGCAGCGGATTTCTTCTCAAGTGTGAAGAGCTGCGCTCTAAAAGCTGCGCTCTAAAAACTGCGAGCTCTCATGCGTGACGACCCAGCTCTCGCACTGCGGTACACCAATGAGGCGGCGAACATGCTATCGCGTGCGCCACGGAGGCGCCTTCGGCTCCGTTCATTCGTCTAAACTTCGTCCCTTCCCCCGCCCCCCCCCCCCCCTCAAAAAAAAAAAAAAAAAAAAAAAAGAAGAAGACTTTATTATGTTTTGAAATGGCCCAATAGCGCTCCCAGGTAAGCCTGATTCACATGGTGCGATTTTCTTCTGCGAAATCGGTTTTCGCGTTTCTTTTCACATTGATTGAGAACATATGCGATTTTCCGCACTTGCGAAGCACATGGTTGGAGCTTTTGAATTTGTTTCAGGATACTAATTTCGATATTTAACAAAATTATAAAATTTTCAGATTTATTCTTTAGCTTCTGGTAAAAAGTACGCGGTATACTTATATTTAGGGCCGATTCAGACGTTTGCATAGACTGCATTTGCATCAACGAAAATGACAAAAACAACGAATGCGACGAATGCGACAAGGACACTGGGAGAGCCACAGCTCATAACTGCTTGAGCAAGCTAGTTCTTGCGTTGCTTGGCATGTCGCTCAAGGCGAACAGTTGTCCGGGTGGCTTCGTCACATGGACGATGTTCCATATTGAAAGAGGGC